AACCTATTTTGACAATCCTAAATATAACAACCCAAAATTATACATACCAAAGATATATAATTAAAATGCACAAAATAATTGAAAATTGAACATTTTTACGTGGAAGATACAAAATCTATATTAGACATTTTAAAAATAGAAAAAAAAATTATAATTTTGAAATCTAAAAAAAAAAAAATATATATATATATATATATATATATATATTCACTCTCATAAGTAAAACAAAACATAAAATTATATTATCTCTAACTCCAAACGTACTACTACTAGACTTACCACATATGACATTTATTTGTGTGTAAACATATGATCGTTACCGTTTAAAATAACAAATAAAATATATAAAATAAGTTAATAATTTAATTTAAATATGAAATAAAACAACTTAATTTCACTCTACCTTTTCATATATCACGTTACATTTAGGTTATTATAATTAAAAAAAATTATATATATATATATATATATATATATATATATATATATATATATTTAATAGATATAACATATAAGTTGGTCATGTATGTAAATTTTAATTGACGTTAACAATCATTTTTTCTATTATTAATGTTGATATGTGTTATTTTCTGTTCAAGTTGAGTATAATTATTTTAATTGATATCTAAATTATTTTTTCAAGTTTTCAGAATTTTATTAATTACTTTTTTACCGAAAGATTTTTCAATCAATATTAGAAAAAAAACTATTTGATTTAAAAAAAATTAGTGACATTGTGGTCAAACAATCTCAAAAGACCTATGTAAAAATAACTAACTACATTAAACTTGGACAAACAAAAACATAATAAACTAAAATAAAAATTGATTGATATCCTTAAAAATAACCATTAATTAAGTCAATATTATCCCAACGAATACTGAGTAAAAAAACATGAAAGCTAGGAACATTTATTCGAGACAAAAGAGGTTATGAAAAAAAATGTAGATTCATATTTTTTATTTTTTTTTAAATTATTATGTTTTATATAATTGAATTTGTTTCACAAATTCTTAAAATTTTAATTTTGTTTAAAACCAATTTATTCAAATAATATACTTTATCATAATATTTGAAATTCTTTATAAAAATCAATAATATCCTGTAAATTCTCAATTAGAATAAAAGGTAATAGATTTTTTTAAAATAAATCTTTAATAGTTTTAAAAATTATGACGGTTGATTTGTATACAATATGTTGTTTCAGTTGATCATTTTATCCTTTACAAATGTTTGTTTGTAAGAATATATATATATATATATATATATATATATATATATATATATATATATTCTTATTTTTTTGTAATATAATTATTATTTTAAAAATAAATATAATTAAGTTCATGTGAGTAGACAAGTACAAAAAATATTGAAATTACCTATATTTAAAATCTGTCGGTAATAACAAAAATTTATTAGAAATTGGATTGTCAATAAATATTACTTATGGATTTAAATTGTCTGTTGGTAAATATTTTTATTTACCTTAGAATTAGATACTGATACTCCAACCACTAAGCTACTAGAATATTTTTAAAATAATTTACAAATAAATTATATTTATATATTTATATATTAATTTTTTAAAATTATTTAATTTAATAAATTAATCTAATTATGATTAAATTATTAAATAAAAAATATTTAATTTTTTAACTAGGTGAATAATTAATTTATTATAATATATTAAGTAATTATTATATAATTTTACCGACGGATATATCCGTCAGTAATTAATTATTAATTTATTGATGGATTTACCTTACGAAAATATCCGTCGGTAAATAATTGTTAATTTATCGACAAATTTATCGACGAATATATTTGTCTGTAACTAATTATTAATTTACAAACGGATATATCCGTCGGTAATTAATTGTTAATTTATCGATGAAACTAATTATTATTTTACCGACGGATATATCCGTCGATAAGACCAAATTCTATATCCATCCATAATTTTCGTCAATAATGACTCATTTTCCGACGGCTATAATTCTGTAGGTAAAAAATTGTTGAAAATATACAAGAGAAAATAAATGAATTGATAAAATTAGCCTGATTTAATTCAGATTATAATATTTTAAACTGAATGAAGCCTATTTTTATTATGTTGCAGATTTTTATTACATTTAATTTATTTAAACCAGTCAAATTCTTACATAGGTGAATTTTGTTTAAATAGTTTTTAGTTACTTGCGTGTAGAAACTTGAAGCTTTTCTATTATATGGTTTAGCTGATATTTGTATGGTTCACAAGGGAATACCTCTTTTCTTAATCTAAAATTTGGTTCTCCTTATTTTTATGATTATAATATCTTTGAATAAATATTAAAAAATATATAAATTTTAATGATAAAATAAATAAATTTTATTTTAGATATATTAATTTTTTTAATTTAAAATTTGTGAAAGATTTCATATCAAATTCAAATATAATTATATATATATATATATATATATATATATATATTTACATGAGATAAATTTCTAGTATCTATTTTAGATTATTAAAAAATCAAATATTTTCTAATTATAATAATATAATCAAATATTATAAACCTATATAATAATATTTTAGGAAGAAAATAAAAGAAAAAAATATTCACACAATTAATTATAATTTAAATTTATAAATAATTAGATTATAATTTTTTTTAAATTATAAGTTTAATTTATGTATTATTTGAGTTATAAATCATTAAAAAATGTTATAAATTAATGATTAATCTAGTTTATGTAAACCAAGCATCTTAATACTTCCACAACATAAGAAAGTTAGGGTAGTCTTTTAATAAGTGTTACATTTTGAATGAAAATTAACTATTATATGATTTTTCCTATATTAGTAGTATGTGCATAAAGAACCTAATTATAATACTTATTTCACTTTAATTTACATCTCAATAAAGTTTAATTAAATTAAAAAATTATATCATTAAATTGAATTCAAAATACATAATTCAATTTGAGAGAAAGTTAAATTAAAAATTTAATAATAACATTCAAAATATAATACTCTAATATAATTAATTTTACATCTAAATGATATTATTACAAAAATAAGATATTTTTATTATGTATAAGATAAATAGGGGTGGTTAAATAATTTAATATTGATAGATGCATCCATTCTTATTGAAATTACCGTAAATACTCACTTCAAGCCCATTGTCATTAGGTGGATATTTACCCTACCAACATTGGAGAAACCCTTTTTTCTCTTTGGTTCCCCTTCTCCATTTTCTCGTTTAGTCTAGAAAAATATTGAAAAAATGGAATGAGAGAAGGTGCAATGTGCAATTGTTGACTTGACTTTCTTACTATGCACTACTTTATTATTTGTGAGAGAGAAAGTGGCACAGTGCCCAAGTAATTTGAGGTTTTGTATAATCTTGAAAAACGCTATAATTATTAGTCATAGTATAAATTGTAATCATTTTTATCTTTTTTTGAGATGTAATTTTTTTCTCACCCAATTTTTTTTCATTAATTTTGATAAAATTTAATTATATTAATTTTTATAATAATCTATAATTAATATTTTGTACAAAATATTTATGACCTTCTAAATTTATGATCCACATATGTAAGGGACAAAGTCACAAAACACTCAGTTATATCAAGTTATTATGAATAATATAGAAATTATAATGCTCAATTATCTATTATAAAAAATTGTGTATTTTTAATTAATGCCATTGTTTTTAAAAAAATGTGATGTATTTCTATCATTATATTTTTTAAACTTATTATTTTTTATTATATGTATTATTTTTATTTTTTTCATAAATAATTAAATATGTTCAGTTTTATCAATTTTTATATTTATTGATTTGATATGCAACAATTAAAAAATTGAATTAATAATTTTATGTTGGTCTAAAATTAAGAAAAAATATATATAAACATGTGAGTATCTGAATTTTTTTTTCTTTTAAGTATATTATTATTGGTTTCTTATAAATTATATGATACAAGGAAGATCACTATGAATATACGTAAAAATTCAAATAAATTTTTTCTTAGAAAATGCTAAAAAATTAAGTGAATAATGAGCTTAGTATATATATATATATATATATATATATATATATATATATATATATATATTTAGCAAATTCTATTAAACTTTGGATGTCAAACTAATGAAGGGACTTAAATGTCTCAGAACATCATTAAAAAAAAAATCACTCAATTAAAAATATGGAAATTAAATATAAGTAAGGAGAAAAGAACTGTTTCGAGTCTAATATGTTATTTGAATAACAACTGTTACGAAAACTGATCTATAAGTCAACAAAAACACTAACTAACGCTTGAATAGGAGTTTTTTTTTTTCAAGCAACTCCTCGGATTTATTTTCTTCCTGACATAACTGACTGTCACAACCAACCTTATAAAAGAATGGACCACCTAATTTACTCATTCATAGGGATGAAGCAAAATAAAGGATACCATGATAAATAAAAATTGATGACTAAACCAATGAGTATAGGGTTCATCGATGGCAATGAAAAAACAGCTTATGCATTCAGCCTTTGGAGGACGATTCAATTTAACACAAGCGTTTCTTACCTATGAATGCAAAAACAGGCAAAAACTTTGTATTGCCCTAACTTCCACACAAAAAATCTTCTTTTGATCTTTATTAAACTCAACCTCTCAGCCATTTAATTCTCCCTCAACCCCTACTCCCTCAAAAACGTTCCTCCACATACCTTCAAAAATTTGCAGAAAGAAACACCTCGAGCTATAGTTGTTAACATTTAATTCTATATTTAATTATCTGTCTATCTACACAACCGCGCTGCGGTGTGAAAGAGGGAGGGTTGGTATCAGAATGAAGAGAACATTTAAATTCATATTTAAAAAGTTAAGAAGCTATAAATTAAGAGCATATTATATATATATATATATATATATATATATTATGTATATATAGGTTGCTAGGAAGGGAGTAATGTGCCGCACGCATGCATGAGCAGTAGCTGTTGCTATTCTGCGCGAGGGCGTGCCAGCCACAATGAACTCAGAGCACGAAGACGATGAAAGTACTCGGCTATGGCCAGAAAACACCTTGCTGCTTGACGCGTTGTTAGGACCTGATGCAGACGGTGAATGGTTTGGTGCCGAAGATTATCTGCCTGTAAGTACAAAACATAATGTTATTGCTATTTTTTTAATATAAAATAATAACTGTTCATAGAGATACTTTTCATGAGATGAAACACTAAGGTAACATTGTTAATAATTGTAAGAATGACATTTAAATTTTGTCTATTATTTTGAATTATGCAATGCATGTCAGATATGTATATGGGTTCATATTTGTGTATGCATGTTGAGGGTAGAAAAATCAACCCTTTGCATGTAACTTCAACTGGGAAAAAGTATTAAATCACAATGGTCAGAAATAGAGACAAGAGGGTGAAAGAGAAACTGGAACAGTGGCATTCTTTTCTCTTCGTACTTTGAAATATTAATGACATTGAAACCTCTACCCTCCGCATATGAAATTTCCGTAGTCAAACTTTGGAACGTTTGATCAAAATTTGGATCCTTTAACCTTAAACCACTCAACATGGAAGATGGTAGAAGATTTGTAACGGGATCGTGAATTAACTTAACACATTATTATATTACAAAATTAGTATTTAGTCTATGCATTTTATTCAAAGCGGGTGACTAACTGACTATTATTGTTCAACATAGAGCAATATTTTCAAAGATTGGATTTCTTGAAAGGCGACAACATATAGCAATAATGATCACAGTAAACCCTGGACCATGTAGGAGTAATTTTAAGTCAGCATTGTGGCTAAAAGAGAAGTCTAGAATAGATAATAAAAATGGTCAAACTACCCGTGGAGGAGCTTAGATGAATTAGGGGAAGGTTGTTCCAAATCTCATTATCATTATGATTAGCCCATCTACCTAAAGATTCCTTTGGTTTTTGGTTTCCCATTGTTTTTATATATGTTTTACAACTGATCTAACGAGGATGTATTCTTGGTTTCCTTTGTAATTAAACCATCTATTCATCTGTGGAAATTACTAATGAAAGTTGGTGAACCAACTTCAGTCATGACATGAATACTGGTTTCAGCACATACATAAATGACGGTGCAGATTAACTGCCATATATTTCCTAAAGAAATTCAGGTTCATTTTACCAATACTATTAACTTAATTCAACTGTAAGAAAATTCCAAAAATCAAATGCTATTTCGTACTTAGAAAATCAGCATGTGTCATTTCATTCAAAACTCATCTACACCATATGTTGCATCCGTTTCAAACGCAAAAGTCCACTAAGTGAACACAACACCTTAGACTCAACATTGTTCATTTGTTAGCAGTAGTCAAAGAGGAAGTTATGGGGAAGAGTCTGTGTAGTGTCTTCAAGTCAAACTGTTATGACCATGACATCATACAGATATGGGGCTAAGTGATATCTTTTAATTAGAATTGTATTGATGAGGGACCACTGATCTCTTAGGGTCACGTGTATATGATCAATATATAGTACACACTAACCTTTGGCATTCAATGTTAATAAAATGTTCAAAATAATATAAACTTTCAGCACTACAGTTACTGCACTTTAGCTATGCATACGTTTTATTGTTCTTATTATGGAAACTTTGCACTGTGCTTTTAATGCGTGTGACTACTAAAGTATATCAAACATTTTCAAGAATATAAACTAACAAGCTAAATATATATCAGGTATTTAATCTTAACTAGTACTATAACCGGGAAATTGTTTTCCTACTACTTTTTAAGCTTTAGTACGCACAAAGCTTCGACTTGGTTGCACGTAATTTTCCTTATTAAGGTGCATGTTTGTGTAGCCTGTGTCCTGGTGCGCATATATAATGTGCCCAAGTACTTGTACCAGACAGATCAGAAAGGAACAAGAGTCCTTTTCGATATATAAACATTAGCACCCAATGTACTCTAAATGAGATGCAGATTCTACAATCTGTTTGTAGATTCCATGTAACAACCTCAAGAGAGAAGACATGCATGGAAGGAGTAGTTCATGGGGTTGGGGCAGGTTTCCCCACCCAAAGAACAACAGATTCTTCTTCCTACCTGACCCCACGAGATTCGTTATGGAAAAATGGTCGTGGGGGACCACTAAACTAATCAACCAAGATCAAACGGTCACGAAACTCCCTCACCAAATCACCAATGCCAAATTCAATGTCCACGACCAACATGTTTTGATATTGACACGCATAAAATATTACGTTCTTTTAGATAACACGAGAAAATATATATTCTTTCTTTCTTTCATTATTAAAAAGTCAATTGTAGGGAATATTAATTTTTTATTTGTGACAAATATCATTACTAAATTTATACCCACACACTAAAAAATTTCGGAGATGCACGTTAAGTCAAAGTGGTGCAACGTACCTGTCTCACGAAACCTTCGAGACTTGAGAGCTTGTTCATGGCCATAGCCATTTGTCCCATATAGTTAGCCATATTGGAAGGATAGCTTAGAGAGTCTGAAGTTATTGTGTCTGAAAGAGATTGATTGAGAGCATCGAGCCCTTGAGTGAGAGCCTCTTCTGCCTCTTGCGTTGATTGTTGCAATCCACATATACCCAATATTTGTTGCTCCGTCAGAGGCTCAATTTGACTCAGAATAATCTAAAACACATAAATGAAATCAATGTATTTAACATATATTAATTGCAATCTGTAAATAGAGAGATTAGATTAAAAAAGTTTATTCTTATTGTAAGCTAAAATATAGTTATACTATAATCATTCATATATATATATATATATATATATATATGTAGAACATTATAAAAATGACATAATTTTATGGTTGTGATAAGTTGCTTATTAATTGTTTAACTATAGAACATTGAAAGAGATGGAAATGGAAACTTGAACTTTATCCCCATTCCCCACCAACCACAGGTTAAAAAGAAGAAAATGAGAGATAAAGACCCATGCCACTCTCTTTCTCTTAACTAGCTAATTTCTTAATCGATTTCCAGTTCTAACCATGAATTGGAGTTAAAGATATGGCTTTATGGGAATGAAGCCTAATTCTACCCATAACCGGAAACCTTCACGATTCCTTTTATCTTTCATTGATGAAGTTGAATTCATACCCTTCGTGTTTTTTTTTTTTGTGACACCGACAAAATGGAGTTCAAGCATTTATAACACCAATTTCTTGTAATCAATACCGTGCATAACGCACCCAATTTCCTCCCACTCTCCGCACACAAGACTTCCAAGTCATCAAAAATTCACCCCAGACCCCAAATTTTAATTATACCATATATTACTATTGGAAAAAATAGGACTTTATTCTAAAAAGGAAAAAAAAAAAAAAAGACTGATACCACTTGCTGTTTGACATATAATATGTCTTGACATGATTCTGGACTAGGATATGTGGGTAGCATTTGTGAACCATACTTGGTTACAATAATTTTATGTACCTTAATGAGTTCAGAAGGCCTGAATCCACCGATCCACATGAAGCAACGTTCAGCTGGGGTCTTCCACATGCCAGAAACCAGATGGAACACGTCAGTTTTCGCCACTAGGCTCTTGAGGTTCATTACTTGGTCATAATGCACCAAACAATTGTCCACAAAAAGTCTAAGCTCGTTCTCAGGAAGGTGATCTTGCACTGCAGCTCTTAGCTCACACACTAAGCGGTGGTGCTCCTCAACCCATCTTGCATATTCCACGTCAAACATTGCAGCCTCTGAAATATAATTTAAAATTATCAGGAAAATAACCTTGGAAATGTAAGCGAATAAAGCATGCATAGATTAGCATCTTGTTAGTGGGAAGAGATTGAGACCCGAGCTAATGGTATTCATAGCGACAGGGAGGTTTTGCTCTCCTCCCAAAAGCGCACCTCCACCTAAGAACATGCCCTAAAAATAGAAACACGCATTACTTGTAAGTTGTAAAAACCACAGGTATTTGAACTTGAAAACTTTAGCAATGTCATGCCCAGTTATAGCATATGTGGTTGTATTCTTTCTTACCTGAGTTCTAGCACGTTGTAGCTCTTGTTCCAGCTGATTAAGTCTAATCCTACTTGACTCTAGTTGTTGAACATATGCCTGAGAGAGTGAAAGAGGAGAAATCCAATGGCACATGACCAATAAGGGGACCTTTGAAAATCTTACCAAAAGAGTGTAAAATATCAGGGTTGAGTTCAAATAATCTTCCTGGGGAATCGCTTACCTTTTTCCTAAGCCTGCTTTTCCTAGCTGCCTCTCTATTCTGAGCAAGTCTTCTCAGTGTCTATGCACAACGTTTAAAAACGGATATTAGCTTCCATTTTTTTTAAAAATTGGTGACTAGCTTGAAAAAGGTGGATAAGGAAGAAGAAAAAAATTAAGAGTTAACCTTAGGATCTGGTGTTTTAGGTCCTTCTTGTTCAGAACTTGACGTTGGACCTTTGCGATTGGTCTCTCGCTGCCACAGTAAACGAATAGGTGATTAGTTAGAGCAATTTTCAGATAAAATAAGAATAAAGAAGAATTATATTTAAGGTCAGAACCTCAGGCTTCAAAGATGCTACCAAACTCTATATCCTACATTTATAACAGATAGATTTGTCTCTCTGATATATATATATATATATATATATATATATATATATATATATGTGTGTGTGTGTGTGTGTGTGTGTGTGTATATATATATATGTGTGTATATATATATATATATGTATATATATATATATATATATGTATATATATATATATGTATATATATATATATATGTGTGTGTATATATATATATATATATATATATATATATATTATTATGTTCGTACCTTGACAGCTTTGGGTGGTTGTGGAGCAGAAGCAGCTTCGTTTCGAGGGTTGGCCAACTCCATCGACGGCTCTGATGGTCTCTTTGAACCACTTGTTTGCGGAGAAACTAACTCTACGTTAACCTATCAAAATCAAATATAAATACATATATAAAACCTATTAATAGTGTTATTATAACTTACAACGATTAATATTGACCAAAATTATCAATCAGGCTATGTATGCAGCAAGGAATAATAACAGAAATAGAGTAAGAGAATAGTACACACACATGTATATATAATATAATATAAATCGACAGTGAGATATCAATGATGATTACACCTTGGACTTGGATGATGATGGCTCTACGTGCATAGGCTTAGATGGGAAAATGTTGAGAGTCGGAGGCCTCATTCCTGATGATGGGTTCTCTGCAGAGAGGCATACATGCACGAAATTCAGCAACATCAATTGTGTGTAAATATATCTAAGCAAGTTAATAATATTATCAGAGAGAAGGTGAGAGAAATGAAAGACGGAAAGAGGGTCTGTTGTTTCAAGGGACAGAATGATTAAGAGACGACCCAAATGTGAAAATAAGAGAGATCTCAAAAGGCAAGAGGTGTGAGGCAAATAAATTGGTATGGGAATTATCATGCATTTGTAGCTCTCATCCCAAACTGAAAAAAGGAGGAAAATAAAGAAAGCAAAGAAAGTAAAGGCAGAAGGAACCCCATACCCTACTCGTTTTCTTTTTCAGTACAAGTGGTGTTTTTATTTGAAGGAGATCATGACACCCGGTTTGTTACATGTCATGGTCTCATACCTCCAAGAATAAAACAAGAAAACAATTAAACTAAAAAATAAATGTAGAGAGAGAAAGAGAGGAGAAATTTTCATTCATTTTCTTTTTTTTTTTAGAAGTGAAAATGTCTACTCCATTTCCTGCCTCTCCCTTCTCTGCAAGGATCTGGTCAAAGGAAGTACGAAGCTGCAGATACGAATCAGCCAAACATGCTTTTGGTGTGACCCAACAAGGAGAATCTCACAAACGAACGAAAAGTGATAGGGAAGAAGTCCCTCTTTTTGAATTTGGAGAAGGTTAGAAGCAAAAAACAAACACAGAAATTTCCATGTATGTGTGGGCGTGTGAGAGAGAGAATTTCGAGAAAGCTCACGTCTTTGGTCTTGAACAGTCGAGGGGTCTGCTTGTCCATCAAGGTAGAGGAAAAAGGCTTGATCCAATTCACCCAAATCATAAGCTCCGGAATCCTTGCCTCTGCTGACATAAACACACACGTTGAAACACAAAAGAAACCAAAAAACGCAGAGTAATGTAAGACAAAAAAAAACTCACAGGTAGTGTCCGGGTATAGAGGAAGATGAAGAAGAGGACTGTATCATTCCAAAAGAAATTTGATGGTCAGGAATTTGATGATGTTGGTGTTGTTGTAACTGATGATGATGATGATGATGATGATGATGATGAGGAGGAGGAGGAGGAGGAGGAGGAGGAGGAGGGTGACGGTGTTGAGGTGGTGGGAGTGGTTCGAATTGAGTAGTTGTTGTTGGGTTGGTGGTTTTGGAAGCCATGACGAGAGAAGATCCTAAATGGGTTGCTGTTGCTGTTGTTTATGTTGTCTCTTGTGCTTGTTCGCTCTTAAAGTAGCTCCGGAAAACCCCATCAATCGCAAAACCGCCTTCTTTGTCTTCCACTTGAAATCATTTCCTTCTTCCACGGTAAAAGGGGGAGGCGGTTATAGTCAAATAGCTTATAGCGAGTTACAGAAGAGAGAGAGGAAGAGAGAATGGAATTGAATGCGAAGTTACAAACAAACAAACAAAAGACAACACTCTTTTTATTACACTACTTTCTCTCTCTTCAAACTAGATTATGACTTTCTGCAAACCAAAATCTTTTTTACAGATAAAACGGTACCCTCTTCAAGCTCAACCCCCTCTCCCTCTCTCTCTCTCTCTCTCTCTCTCTCTCTCTCTCTCTCTCTCTCTCTGGAAGAACCACAGAAGAGGTTGCAACAAAACCTGTCTTAGGCCGTGTTTGCTTTTGGGGGAGAGGAAACCAATTTTGAATTGAAACATGGAATTGTAAAACCCCCTTAAGATTAAAAGCTTCCGTGCCAAGGCTACTACTTATTAATAATGTGAAATGACCAAAAAGTCTTGCCTTCTACTTTTACTATTCACATTCATGCAAACGCCTACACGTCGATTTCTGAGGCGGCTCTCTCCATTTAACACATTTATCACATCACCAATTTTAATTTAAACAGTCTTTTTTACATAGGAGAATTAATTAATAATCATTAAACACTAATTACTAATACTTCGTTAATTTAACTGATATCAAACTTAAGAATGATCTCGAATTTGTAATTTGTGAATAAAAACACGCAATTAGAATAATTAATTAAATATCATTTATTAGTTATTAAATGCGTATACTTTTTTATCATTTACTTTTATATATATAATATGGGCTAAAATATAAAGAATATTAAAAGTAGAAAGAACATTTATGTTGAAACATTTAATAATTAAACCAAAGGCTTAACTTTTAATATTCTTCTCTCTATCTTTTATTTTATTTTGTCTTATACAACCCAACCAAACGAGATAATTATGATGGATATTTAATATATAAGAAATAAGTATTAGATTTTACATATGGATTTTTTATTTCATAATTTGAAATCCTTTGTCAACCTGGAGGGGTAATTAATATTCACCCTTAATGATTTGGAAGGAGATATAATAAATAATATTTCCACATGTCTTCTTCATTATAATCAAGTCGTTGTAGAAATAGTAGACAGTGATATTGTTCAATTATGAAAATGATCTTATCACAGGTTGAATCTTGTAAATCGTTTTCAAGGCTGAAGAATTTATCTAATGAATAGTAACAGTCACATGAATCGAACTTTCAAACGTAAGTTATCTCAATGCCAGATGGTTCAAAAAACTTGTATATATAATCTATTTTAGAGTTGTTCTCAACATAGACAAAATTGACTTTGGAAAAATATTAAATTTTCAATTCAGATTACGACTCAATACTCACAAATACAAATTCAAGGCACAAGAAAAAAACGATTCAAGTTTGTATATCTTCACACCCAAAGGTGGCGTCTAACTAAAGCCAACTATTTAGTCCTAAAAGGTGTTACAAGCAAATAAATAAATAAGAAAAATAAATGCAACATAAAAAAAAAATATTTGACAAAATTCATTTAAAATTTGCTAACATTCAAAGATAGCTGTCGAATAAGAATGATTTATGTAGGTTAAGATAATATATGGATTAATTTATCACGTATTTAAACCATACCAAATGTATGAGGTAGGCGATGTTGGGCTTTTAACACGCCTCCTCGAATGCAGTCCAGGCAAAGGTATTTGTGGGACTTTCAACACGCCCCCTCCAACAAAGTCTACCGGACCAGGCAAAGGGTACTTTTTTGACCCAACCAAATGACAACTTTTGGCCAGCCAATGACAATAATCGGAAAATGTTAGGCTTTGGCTCTGATACCATATTAAGGTTTCAACATAAAATCAATTGATAATATGTGGAGTAGTTTAACATGTATTTAAATCATACTAAATAACATGAGGTAAGCGATGTGGGATTTTTATCAATGTATACCAAAGTAATGAACAATGCTACTTCATTACAACAATTATTCAAGCAAAAAATAATCGGTAATTAAGTATTTCTTAAAGTTTGACGAAAAATATTTCATAATTAGGTTTCAATTAAAAGTGTAAGCAAATTGAGATGTTAATTAATTAAGGGAAAACATTGACTTTTGGAATCATTGCTATGTGAAGGCCATCAAGTTGCGTCGGGGCAAATATCAATCATTTGTTTTTATTTTTTTATGCCTTTTTTTACATGATTTCTTTGAATTAATGATTTTTTTTTTTCATTTATCAACGTTACTAAAAAACTATACATGCCCCACCAAAGTCAACCCCTCTTGAATTCTTATGCCACTAAAAACTTGTTTGGCCCAAACATAATTTTGTCATGACTTCAAACATTCTTAAACCTTGTTGAAAATGTTGTAGGACTTATGAACGTGTCCCACGTATATATTAATTTTGTCTATGTTTGATTAGTAAGCGTCGCCATTATCAACTGCTATGAACTTCACAAGGTGAAGAATGGGTTTCCGAAGGGCACGTGCATTGACCCACAAAATTCATCAAGGTGTTCAAATTGGGAGACATAGATTTTTTTAAGTCTGCTAGTTAGTACTACTTCTTTACTGTTGTCAACAACATCTCATAATATATATATATTGTTTTGTGAATTTAGAAAAATAAATTGAAGGTCTCACTTGTAGATATGTTCTAATTACGAATATTACCATATATCTGCCATGTAATATTATAGTTTAAAAAAAAATCAACTTTTTGAGAAATAAAAGTTAAAGAGAAAAATATCTTACAAAGACTAAAATTAAAATTTATCAACTTTATATGGATTGAAAAATATTTAAATATTAATTAACTGTTGCTTTTAATGCTACCTTATATGAATATGTTAAGCTCAGCCTTTGACTAATAAAAAAATTTTAAAATAGAAAATTGAAAACTTAACCAAAATTATAGATTTTTTAAAAATATAGACTAATTTTTACCTTAAATAAATATGATAAGTTCAGCCTTTGACTAATCAAAATAATTAAAAATAAAATTGAAAATTGAAAACTTAACCAAAATTATAGATTTTTTTAAATATAGACTATTTTTTTTATTTTAAAATAACTAACCATAGTTAGTTATAAATCGATCTAAATTTAACTGATCAAAACAGGAGATAAAATTTGTACTTAAGGCAAACAGCGTTTTTTCTTTTCACATATTTTTGTTGCTACAGACGAAGTATTTATTGCATTGAAAAGAGAAAAATATTTAATACTATTTGTATTTAAAATTTCAAAACATTTAATAAGATATATTTATTATGTTCACACTATGTATTTATTGAAGACGTGATGAATAACCATATTATATCTTTAAATATAAGTGAGTTTTTTTTTTCAAAATATATAAAGTTTAATAGATGAAGATTACTCTCTATTTTAAAATATATTGTGCTGTAAAAGAATTTTTCTTTTTAAAAAGTGTTTATAAAATTTAAGGTTGTATTAATTATTTTTTATTATATAAATATGATGTTTTTAAAGTTTAAGGTTACATTAATTATTTTTTATAAGTATATATTTTTATTTTTGAAAATTTTAAAAATAATTAAAATATTGATTTTATGGATCTTTAAGCTTTATTTGTTATTTGTTAGCAAGGAAATAATGAATAAGGAAAAGAAAGAAAAAGAGATGAAATAAAGTAAAAAACTATTTATTTGAGGAATGGGATAAAAGTGAATGAAAATTATTATTAATTAATATTTAATATTTGTTCAATTACAAAATTACCTATATATAATTATTATTTATGAATGAGAAGATAATTTTGTAAAATAACGTGTTTCTTTCACTTTTCACTATTCTTCTATCATATACCATTAGAAAGTAAATATATCTGTTATGTTAGAAAGTGACACTTTTTTTCTCTATGATTTTCCTTTTTATCAAAATAAGGAAAATTATTACTTTTTACTCATTTTTCCTACACGCTCATCTTTCAATTTACAATTTTTCAAATGAATTGTAACTTGCACACATAATTACATTAATATACTACGAATGTAACATAAACTAATAATATAAGAGAAAATTTATTATTTTTCATCCCTTCAACTAACTTCATATTTGTTTCATTGTAAAAAAAATAACATTTATGATGAATATAATTAAAAAGGAATATGTTTAAGTGAAATTACAAAAATAAAATGGAAAAGAATAAACATGTAGTCGATTCCTAAGTAATAAATGAAAAAACACCAAATTTTCCTGAAAAAAAAATCTTCAAAAATTTTGATGGTACAATTTTTAAGATTGAAAAAATAGAGGGAAAGTTATTTTTAATAAAATAAGAAAATAGTTAACATTCTTTTATTTTTATTTTTTAGGATGAGGAAGGAATTAATACTTTATCATATAGAGAGAACAATTTATTATAATAAGGGTATCATTAAAAAAGATTAAACAGTTTATTATAAGTTACGAAAATTAATGTTTTTATTACTTTGTGTATCTAAACTTTAAACCTCCAAAATTTTGAAACTTTTATCAATAAATAATTCAAAATAATATATATAAACAACATTGTTTTCACTTATAAATACACATTTTCAATTCTTTCATTTCTCATTTCATCATTGAATTGATATTCTGTTAATTTTAAACATTAAAAAACAATAATAACAAAGATAGCTTTCCTTACCTTAATTTTTTCTACCTTTAGGTATATAAGATTTTGAGAGAAGACGACTAAATAATACTCACGAAACTTCTCAACCAATTTAAGGAATCAAACCTACTTATGAATATACTCTAGATCAAATTCAAACTCTTGTTACCCAATTTTCCTAAAAAAACCTAATTGAATGTATATATTGTGAAAGAATAAAATAAAGATTAAAGGAAAAAGGGATGAATTACAAAAATAACAATCAAAATTGAAAACTCAACTTTTATCTCCTAGCTTATGTGGCAAAGGCAATGAGGCGGGACGGGTGGGGCAGGTTTTGCTTCCGATTTTCGCCTCGACTTTTTTAATCATTCCCGTTGAGTTTTGGGTTTCTTTGTATTGTCTCGTCTCGTTCCCGATC